ACCGCACCACACTCACGCCGCTTGGTCGGCCGGTTGCTGTCTCCCTGGCTGACCCCTCTGGGGGTCCTGTCCTCGCTCACTTCTCCACTGTCCTCCCGTGTCCGGCTGCCCCCTCGGGCACCCTGTCTGGCCTGTACCTCCCCTCGTTCTCGACGAACTTGGTGAGTGGTGCAGACCTACAGGATGCGGGGGTTCACCAGTTCACTCCTGCGAGTCAGCGGGTGACCCACTGCACGGACGCACGCACAGGCCGGCACCTGGCCACGTTCTCGCGTCGGCCGGGGTCGAGCCTCTACACCCTGACCACTGAGTCTCCTCCTGTCCCCGCGTCCGGTCAGGTAGCAGCGTCGGGTCAGGTGTTTGCTGCTGCGTCCAGGTCTGGTCCTGAGTCTGCCCCCTGTTCGTGTCGCCTCCTGTCTCACGAGACTCTTCTGTGGCACCACCGTCTAGGCCACCCCTCCTTGCCCCGTCTTCGGGGCATGGCTTCCCGTGTCCTTGTCTCTGGTCTTCCCCAGTCTCTCCCTCCCCTTCCTTCGGGACCAGGACCTTCCTGTGTCCCCTGTGTCGAGGGGCGCCTCAGGGCTGCTCCTCACTCCTCCCAGTTTCCCCCGACAGAGGCTCCTCTGCAGACGCTTCACATGGACGTGTGGGGCCCGGCCCCCGTCCGTGGGCAGGGTCACGAGCGCTACTTCCTGTTGGTGGCTGACGACTACTCGCGTTACACCTCAGTCTTCCCCTTGCGCAGCAAGGGTGCTGTCACTGAGGTGCTGATCGACTGGATCAGCGAGGCTCGTCTCCAGCTCAGGAGGAGCTTCGGCTCGGACTTTCCTGTTCTGCGTCTGCACTCTGACCGAGGTGGGGAGTTCTTCTCTCGCCTTCTGCGAGACTACTGTCGTGCACAGGGGATCCGCCAGACCTTTACGCTTCCGGACTCTCCACAGAAAAATGGGATTGCTGAGCGCCGCATTGGCATGGTCATGGATGTCGCTCGTACGTCCATGATGCATGCGGCTGCCCCCCATTTTCTGTGGCCGTTTGCGGTTCGGTACGCGGCGCATCAGCTCAACCTTCACCCCAGGGTCTCTCGGCCCGCGATGTCCCCAGTGTTACTGTGGACGGGGAAGGTCGGCGATGCGTCTGCGTTCCGTGTCTGGGGATCTCGGGCGTTTGTCCGCGACTTGTCTGCGGACAAGCTGTCCCCCCGTGCTGCTCCCTGTGTCTTCCTTGGCTTCCCCCCTGACGCTCCAGGGTGGCAGTTCTACCACCCCTCCTCTCGTCGTGTTCTGTCCTCCCAGGACGTCACGTTCGACGAGTCAGTCCCCTTCTACCGCCTCTTCCCCTACCGTACTCCTTCCCTTCCCCCCCCACCGGACTTCCTGGTACCAGTTCCCCCCCCGGTAGACCCCCTCCCCCCTCAGGTTCCTGCCCCTTCGGGTGTGTCCCAGGTTGACACGGTCGAGCCAGTCGAGGTTGCTGCTGAGTCTGGTGCTGCTGCTGGGGGTGCTGAGCCTGGGGGTGCTGAGCCTGGGGGTGCGAGGCCGGGGGGTGCTGAGTCTGGGGGTGCTGAGCCGGGGGGTGCTGAGCCGGAGGGTGCTACGTCAGGAGCTGCGGAGCCTGGGGGTGCTGGGCCTGGAGGTGCGGAGCCTGCGCCTGCTGGACCTGGCGGCTCTCCGGTTCTTCCGTCTCGGCGGGAGCCGCTCTCTCCACAGGAGCTCCGCGAGTGGTTTGCTCGCCGCTGGAGGCGTGCTGCTGGAGCTGGAGCTTCTTCGCCTGCTGCGGGTGCTGCCGGTCCCGGAGCTACTGGGCCTGCGGGTCCTACTGGAGCTGGAGCTACTGAGCCTGGGGGTGCTGAGTCTGGAGCTGCTGAGCCTGGAGGTGCTGGGTCTGGAGCTGCTGAGCCTGGGGGTGCTACGTCTGGAGCTGCTGTGCCTGGGGGTGCTGAGTCTGGAGCTGCTGAGCCTGGGGTTTCTCCTGCTGCTGCGTCTCGCCGGGAGCCCCTCTCTCCACAGGAGCTGCGCGAGTGGTTTGCTCGCCGCTGGAGGAGTGCTGCTGGAGCTGGAGCTTCGTCGACCGTCGAGGGTGCTGGTGCTGCCAGTCCCGGAGCTGCTGGGCCTGCGGGTCCTACTGGAGCTGGAGCTGCTGAGGGTGTTGGTGCTGAGACTACTGCTGTCTGTCCTGGCGGTGGTTCTGCTGCTGGTGCTGCTGGAGGTCCTGTCGCTGGAGGTGTTGGTGGCGCTGGTGCTGTCGCTGAGGGTGCTGGTGCTGTCCCTGCTGTGTCTGGAGCTGCCGCGCGGCCTCGGCCGTACTTCGTTCCGCTCCTACAGCAGGTTCTTGGTCTTTCTCCTTCGGTAGAGTGTCCACAGCCTATCCAGTCGCAGTCACTGTTGGAGCCTTCCTCTCCTCTGCCTGCTCCCTCTCCTTACACTGGTCCTACTGGAGGTCTTGCTGAGCGTCGTGAGCCTGCGTCTCGTCCCGCGTCGCCTGTTCGTGCTGCTCGCGCTAGTGGTCGCGGTTCGCGTCAGCGTCCTCCTCCTGTCCCTGGCACGCACCGGATGTCTCTGCGTCCGTCCACTGCTCCTCTGCGTGCCCCTTTGCCTTCTCCTCCTGAGTCCTCTCTTCCTGTGCTTGCCGACCCTGAGTCGGACTCTCTTCGCGCTGCCAGTCCTACTGTCACGCGTCTGCTTGCTACTGTCGTCACTGACCCCTCTTTTGAGTCCACTGCTGCGTCTGCTCTAGTCGCTGAGCTCGTTGACTTTGCTGCTCGCTGTCGTCTCGACTACGCTGCTGGTCTTGTTGCTGAGTCTGCGTCTGTCTGTCCTCCGTCCGTCGGGGGTGAGTGTGCTCTTGGCACGGACGTCCTAGAGGACAGACAGGAGGAGTTACAGTGTCTAGCGGCTGCTTCACCTCATCTCGCGTCTGTACTGCTTGCCCCTGAGGGAGACCCGGATGCACTAGACATCCCGACTCCGCGTTCTTACGCGGAGGCCGTAGAGGGTCCCTACTCCTCTCAGTGGCAGGCAGCTATGGATGCAGAGATGGCTTCCTGGAAGTCCACAGGCACCTACGTTGACGCAGTTCCCCCTCCTGGGGCGAACATCGTCAGTGGCATGTGGATTTTCCGGGTGAAGCGGCCGCCGGGCTCTCCACCTGTCTTCAAGGCGCGGTACGTTGCTCGTGGCTTCAGTCAGCGGCAGGGAGTTGACTACTTTCAGACCTTCTCTCCCACCCCGAAGATGACCACTCTTCGGGTGCTGCTGCACATAGCCGCTCAGCGCGACTACGAGCTTCACTCTCTCGACTTCAGCACTGCGTTCCTGCAGGGTAGCCTGCACGAGGAGATCTGGCTGCGCCGTCCACCTGGCTTCACTGGGACTTTCCCTCCTGGCACCCAGTGGAGCCTCCGACGGCCAGTCTACGGTCTCCGCCAGGCACCGCGTGAGTGGCACGACACACTGAGGACTACGCTTGCGTCTCTTGGGTTTGCTCCTTCTACTGCTGACCCGTCGCTGTTTCTGCGCACCGACACTTCACTGCCGCCGTTCTACATCCTCGTGTACGTCGACGACTTGGTCTTTGCCACGGCGGACACTGCTGGACTCGCCTACGTGAAGTCCGAACTGCTGAAGAGACACACGTGCACAGACCTGGGTGAACTGCGCAGCTACCTTGGCTTGCAGATCACTCGGGACAGAGCACGCCGCACCATTACCTTGACTCAGTCACACATGGTGCAGCAGGTCCTTCAGCGCTTCGGCTTCACGTACTCCTCGCCTCAGGCCACTCCTCTGCCTACTCGCCACTCACTCTCAGCTCTGCCTTCGGATGAGTCCGTAGAGTCGAGTGGTCCGTATGCAGAGCTTGTTGGCTGCCTCATGTACCTGATGACCTGCACACGACCTGACCTTGCATACCCTCTGAGCATTCTTGCACGCTATGTTGCTCCTGGGAGACACAGACCAGAGCACATGGCTGCAGCGAAGAGGGTATTGCGCTACCTGTGCAGTACGTCGGGCATGGGGCTTGTGCTTGGAGGGCGGAGTCCAGTGGTCCTTACCGGCCACGCGGACGCTTCTTGGGCTGACGACCAGGCTACGCAGCGGTCGTCACAGGGTTACACCTTCAGCCTTGGTTCCGGCTCTGTCTCGTGGCGGTCTACTCGCTCGTCTTCGGTTCTCGGCTCCAGTTGTGAGGCTGAGATCTACGCCGGGGCCATGGCTGCACAGGAGCTTCGCTGGCTCACCTACCTGCTGACTGACCTTGGAGAGCCGCCTCGTTCTCCTCCAGTGCTGTACGTAGACAACAAGGCCATGCTGGCCTTGTGTCGAGAGCAGCGCTTGGAGCACAGAACGAAGCACATTGCTCTCCGTTACTTCCTTGCTCGTGAGCTGCAGCAGCGTGGTCAGTTGCGACTTGCGTACGTGGCCTCTGAGGCCAACACTGCTGATGTGTTCACCAAGGCACTCGCGCCTTGTGACCATCAGCGCTTTTGTACCCAGCTGGGTCTTGTACCTGTCTTGCCTCACTTGCTCTCCTCTTGACTTCACTTGTACTGTGACATATATATATACCTGCTCTTGCTTGTCTAGTTTTATATATATGTCTGTACTCCTGCATGTGAACTGGCCTCTGGCCCTGCTCTTGTGCTCGGACTGTGTGGTGACTTTGTGATCCACCCTGAGCTTGCTTTGCTTTGCTTTGCTTGACTGGTCTTGTGACCCCTTGTTCTCCCCCACTTTGCCTATGGGGGTGTGTCAAACAGTATATATGTTATGCTTGTGTAGGCTACAGTGGGTTAGCCTATAGGGGGTACACAATTCTAGGGTTTCCTACTTGTACTCATTTCACTGCTAGTTCATTCATTCCTGTTCGCTTTTTCTCACACAGGCAACGGTAGACAGTACCGGACACCCGCAGCCCAAACGCACATGCCCACGACGTCACCACAACCTAGCCCAAGGTTTGACGTATATTCGGTGTATCGCAGACGCCGCACCGAAGAGTTAGCAGGCAACATGTGTTGAGCAGACCTGTGTGGAGTTAAGAGGCACGGTACACAAAGTGAGTGGGAGGCCGGGAAAGGATATGTGGGCTGGATGGGAGAGGATGGCAGGGCAGAGGGGAGGGCAGGATGGGAGAGGAGAGGAGGGTAGGCATTGGGGAGAGAACCAGAGGGCTGGGCGGGAGAGGAGCGGAGGGTTAGACGAGAGAAGAGCGGAGGGCGTTAAGCGAGAGAAGTAAACAACCCTAACATATGATACGAAAGGGGAGGTGCACCGCAGATGGAAACGTAGTAGGGAAACGGGGGTCGCGGATATGTGAGATTCATCATTCACGGCAAAGCAAACACCAACCGTTCAGGTGTCACCCAGTCATGCATGTGATCCCAGACCGTGTATGTGCACCTATCCCGTGAGTGGAAATAAACAACTAAACTGGTGAATAAGGTTACCTTAAGCGCACAACAAGGTCGCACTCCTTCAATGTTCGTTACTGAGGGAGTGCAGCACGCCCCAAAGGCAGGCCTTTCAGCTGTGAGATTTCCTCCCGGATTCGGGCCCACACGAGGGCAGGCGAAGATCGCTGGCCGATTTGGATCCGAACTGTCGTCACCACCTCCTTTGAAACGCCCGTGCTATGTCACCGGTGCGAAGAACGCGTTTTTCTGCATGAATGTACAGGATGTAATAGCGAAGAAGAGCGGAGGGAAAGGAAAAGAAAGGGAGAGGAGCGGGAAGGCAGCACGGGAGAAGAGAGAGGACAGAAAGAGAGGGGAGAAGGGGGGACAGAAGGAGAGGGGAGAAGGGAGGACAGAAAGAGAGGGGAGAGGGAGGCAGGAAGGGAGAGGAGAGGGAGGCAGGCCAGAAGAGGAGATGATGGCAGCACGGGAGAGGAGATGAAGGCAGGACGGGAAAGGAGATGAAGGCAGGACGGGAGAGGAGATGAAGGCAGGACGGGAGAGGAGATGAAGGCAGGACGGGAGAGGAGATGAAGGCAGGACGGGAGATGAGATGAAGGCATGTCGGGAGAGGAGATGAAGGCAGGACGGGAGAGGAGATGAAGGCAGGACGGGAGAGGAGATGAAGGCAGGACAGGAGATGGGATTATGGCAGGAAGCGAGAGGAGAGGAAGGCAGGGTGAGGAAGAGGAAGGGGAAGGGGAAGCGAGATTTCCGCGTACGCACCGCGGGGGGTTGGCATGCGGATTCCGGAACCCACATGTTGCGCGACCCTACTGTTTCCGGAGATCCCACTGCGCGACACGCCTGCGAACATGGGTGGAGAAGCGAGCAGTGGAGGACGGAGCGGGAGAGGAGAGGTGTGGACATTGAGGGAGGAGAGGGGGGGACAAAAACGGAGAGGGGAGAGGAGGACAGAAAGGGAGATGAGAGGGGAGGACAGGAAGGGAGAGGAGATGAAGGCATGAAGGGATAGGATAGGAAGGCAGTAAGTGAGAGGAGAGGAAGGCAGTGAGGGAGAGAAGAGGAAGGCAGTGAGCGAGATGAGATGAAGGCATGCAGGGATAAAGAGGACAGGGAGGAGATAGAAGCGAAGGAAACCCATGCAAATTCCGATTAGGATTCTTCACACGCACCTTGCGACACATTTGCGAATTCCGTAGCTCCCACCGTGCGACGCGGCTGCGGATTCCGCAGCTCCCACCGTGCGACGCGCCTGCGGATTGCGAAGATAGCAGGATTGGTCAGACGGGCAGCATGGGAGATGATATGAGAGCAGGAGAGGATATGAGAGCAGGAGAGGATATGAGAGCAGGAGAGGATATGAGAGCAGGAGAGGATATGAGAGCAGGAGAGGATATGAGAGCAGGAGAGGATATGAGAGCAGGAGAGGATATGAGAGCAGGAGAGGATATGAGAGCAGGAGAGGATATGAGAGCAGGAGAGGATATGAGAGCAGGAGAGGATATGAGAGCAGGAGAGGATATGAGAGTAGGAGAGGATATGAGAGCAGGAGAGGATATGAGAGCAGGAGAGGATATGAGAGCAGGAGAGGATATGAGAGCAGGAGAGGATATGAGAGCAGGAGAGGATATGAGAGCAGGAGAGGATATGAGAGTAGGAGAGGATATGAGAGCAGGAGAGGATATGAGAGCAGGAGAGGATATGAGAGCAGGAGAGGATATGAGAGCAGGAGAGGATATGAGAGCAGGAGAGGATATGAGAGCAGGAGAGGATATGAGAGCAGGAGAGGATATGAGAGCAGGAGAGGATATGAGAGTAGGAGAGGACATGAGAGCAGGAGAGGATATGAGAGCAGGAGAGGATATGAGAGCAGGAGAGGATATGAGAGCAGGAGAGGATATGAGAGCAGGAGAGGATATGAGAGCAGGAGAGGATATGAGAGCAGGAGAGGATATGAGAGCAGGAGAGGATATGAGAGCAGGAGAGGATATGAGAGCAGGAGAGGATATGAGAGCAGGAGAGGATATGAGAGCAGGAGAGGATATGAGAGCAGGAGAGGATATGAGAGCAGGAGAGGATATGAGAGCAGGAGAGGATATGAGAGCAGGAGAGGATATGAGAGCAGGAGAGGATATGAGAGCAGGAGAGGATATGAGAGCAGGAGAGGATATGAGAGCAGGAGAGGATATGAGAGCAGGAGAGGATATGAGAGCAGGAGAGGATATGAGAGCAGGAGAGGATATGAGAGCAGGAGAGGATATGAGAGCAGGAGAGGATATGAGAGCAGGAGAGGATATGAGAGCAGGAGAGGATATGAGAGCAGGAGAGGATATGAGAGCAGGAGAGGATATGAGAGCAGGAGAGGATATGAGAGCAGGAGAGGATATGAGAGCAGGAGAGGATATGAGAGCAGGAGAGGATATGAGAGCAGGAGAGGATATGAGAGCAGGAGAGGATATGAGAGCAGGAGAGGATATGAGAGCAGGAGAGGATATGAGAGCAGGAGAGGATATGAGAGCAGGAGAGGATATGAGAGCAGGAGAGGATATGAGAGCAGGAGAGGATATGAGAGCAGGAGAGGATATGAGAGCAGGAGAGGATATGAGAGCAGGAGAGGATATGAGAGCAGGAGAGGATATGAGAGCAGGAGAGGATATGAGAGCAGGAGAGGATATGAGAGCAGGAGAGGATATGAGAGCATGAGAGGATATGAGAGCAGGAGAGGATATGAGAGCAGGAGAGGATATGAGAGCATGAGAGGATATGAGAGCATGAGAGGATATGAGAGCAGGAGAGGATATGAGAGCAGGAGAGGATATGAGAGCAGGAGAGGATATGAGAGCATGAGAGGATATGAGAGCAGGAGAGGATATGAGAGCAGGAGAGGATATGAGAGCAGGAGAGGATATGAGAGCAGGAGAGGATATGAGAGCAGGAGAGGATATGAGAGCATGAGAGGATATGAGAGCAGGAGAGGATATGAGAGCAGGAGAGGATATGAGAGCAGGAGAGGACATGAGAGCAGGAGAGGATATGAGAGCAGGAGAGGATATGAGAGCATGAGAGGATATGAGAGCAGGAGAGGATATGAGAGCAGGAGAGGATATGAGAGCAGGAGAGGATATGAGAGCAGGAGAGCAGGAGTTCGAGCAGGAGTTCGAGCCCATGAAGCTGACTATCAACTCCGAAGACCCCGCGCTCACACGTCCCTCAGGAACGCTCTCTTTGTTTCTCAGGCACGCGCCTCACACGCCCCTCAATGTCGTTCTCAACAGCTCTCAGGACCTGCACTGCCTCGGCCGTCTCTTGGGACCCTCTGCGCGCTCCCTCACAACCTTGTGCCTTGGGCTCAAGGAACCTTTCCACGGATTCAGGCCACGGCTGATGCATTCAGCATTTCTAGGGGAGTTTGAGCAGCTGCAGAAGCTGGAGCTAGGCCACGGGACTTGGCAATTAGGCAGCCTGAATCCAGCAATGTTCCGGGCTTTAAGGAGTCTGAGCATCCACGATTTCGAGTGCGAGAAAAATGCTCTGCCCTTTCTTTCATCCGTCGCACCGCAGCTGCATGAATTCGCTCTCGCCTCCTCCAGCTTCGGCTCTGCCTCTGCCACCCTCACTCTCGATTTCAAGCTCACCGCTGCTCGATCTATCACAGTCTGCTTAGAGCAACAAGCGCTCCACCTCCGCTTCGCCCTGCCTGCCTCTTTGAAGTCCTTTTCTGCCACTGCGGCGAGTCTCAACGTGGATTGCACATGCAACAGCCGGCTCTCTCTCGACTCGCTCTCTCTCATTGGCCTCTGGCAGCTTCTCGTTTCTTCACTACCATTGGCTGCCGCCAAATCCGTCTACTTGGAAGGACCAGCCAATCGAAAAAACCAGTCGCGTGGTTTTCCCTATTCCGATCTCGAATCTCAGCGTACCGTGACCCACCTGCTCAGCAGCATAGCGCCTACAGTGGAGATGCTTGTATTGAGGTACGGCTGGCCTCTGGAGGGCGTGCGTGTGGAGTGGAGCCGCCTTCGTTGCGTTTTCATCGGTGTAGCGAGGCGTGGGGGGATTAATCACAGATATTATCCGGTCGATCCGGAAAATTCAATATCTTGGAAGTTCTTTAGTGCGGCAGGAGAGAAGGGCGGCGTCAGCAGCAGCACCAGCGGCTTGCTCATCAATGCTCCGAAATTGGAGTCGTTTTACGATGCCACCGAGCTACTTAAGGTGTTCTGGAGTTCGGTTGAGGTAGTTGTGACAAGGCAGGATAGGACGGTGTGCGTGTAAATGGCTGTTTGTAAAAAACTGAACGATCAGTTCAAAAAAAAAAAAAAAAAAAAAAACAAGAGGCGACGACATCGTCTTAGGGCTGCGAAGCTTTTTACGCAACTGTAAGTACATATTTTGTTGATATAACCAAGGATTCAGTGGATAGGATAGAATCTGTTAAGTATGAGAGGAGACAATGGAGTCTCCGTAGTGACCTTGTTGAATAATAATTGAAGGAGAACAAGATAATTGAAAGATAGGAGTACAAGAGATCAAATAGAAATCTAGCTAGCCATGTAGTCTGAGGGGTACATTCCCTTATTTACTGTATTGCATAGCTACAGTAACCGTGACTATTGCTATCCTCGACAGTTACCATGTTGCAGTGAATTAATTGTCGCGCGGTTACTGGATTGTCAAGGGTGACGACCGTTGATTCTCTCAGACGGTTGACCTTCGGGTGACCCTCGACATTTCGCATGCTCTGTATGAGCTATTGCGGTACTGGTACAGTGGAACAGCTTCGGGAATGCTTTATATAACCTTTCGGTTATTCCAACACTCCCCTTCATTCCTGAAGGTGGGCCAAGTGGGATTTCTTGGTGATCCCGCAGAGGTCGGCGCAGCGTTGGTACTGCTGACGTGGTAGCTTCTTCGTTAAGAAGTCAGCTGCCATGTCACCAGTCGGGCAGTACGTCAGCTTGACTTTCCCTTTGTCGATTTCATCCTCCACGAAGAAGTAGCGAAGGGCGATGTGTTAGGTGCGGTTGACACAGCTGTGCTTGTTCACGATCTTTATCGCGCTTTGGTTGTTGCAAAGTAACGAGAAATGCCCGTTCATCGTCACTTTCGCTTCTTGCAGGAGCTCCACCAGGTACAGTCCTTCGCGAACAGCTGCGCTGGCTGCGATGAATTCTGTTTCTGCTGACGAAAGAGCGATGAGTTCCTGCCTGCTTCTGAGAATTCCAAGAGATGAGTCCCGCTGGTTGGAGTTGAAAGATGAATCTGTGAAAGTTTAGAAGAAGAGGGTTGCACTAGCAAGAATGAGGATACAAATAGCAAACCCTAGAAGGGTTGTACTCGCTATAGAGCACCCCACTACAGGCTGGAGCATAATATTCTGACACACCCCCATAGCCAAAGTGTCAGAACATATATACAGCTTATACTATTGTGTAGGCTGTAGTGGGGTATCCCATAGGGGGTACAACCCAGTTAGGGTTTCCTATTTGTACTGTTTTCATTCCATAGTCAACCATTCCTGTTTTCCTTGTTTCACATGGTATAGAGCGGGTCCTGCCTTAGGACCGTTTTTTTTAGGGCCCACCGAAGCGCGCCCCGAGGCGCGCCCTTTTCTTAGCGACCCCTCGGGTCGCCTTTTCCTCGCGGCCCCGCTGTCCCTCAGACGCGGCCCCGCCACCTCTCCTGATCGCGGCCCCGCCGCCTGCTTGACGCGGCCTCGCCGCCTCCCCTGACGCGGCCCCGCCGCCTCCCCTGACGCGGCCCCGCCTCTACTGCAGCGGCCCCGCCGCCGCCTCTAACGGCCCCGCCGCTGCATCCTACGGCCCGCCGCTGCTCCTGCCGGCCCGCCGCCTCACCTGACGGCCCCGCCGCTGCTCCTGACGGCCCGCCGCTGCTCCTGCCGGCCCGCCGCTGCACCTGCCGGCCCGCCGCTGCACCCAGCGGCCTGCCGCCTCTGACGGCCCCGCCGCTGCACCCTACGGCCCGCCGCTGCTCCTGCCGGCCCGCCGCCTCACCTGACGGCCCCGCCGCTGCTCCTGCCGGCCCGCCGCCTCACCTGACGGCCCCGCCGCTGCTCCTGCCGGCCCGCCGCTGCTCCTGCCGGCCCGCCGCTGCACCTGCCGGCCCGCCGCTACACCCAGCGGCCCGCCGCTTCACCTTACGGCCCGCCGCTGCACCTGCCGGCCCGCCACTGCACCGGTCTGCCCGCCGCTGCACCTGACGGCCCCGCCCCTGCATCTCCCGGCCGAGCCGCCCCAGCAGCCGAACCGCCCGGGAGCCGAGCCGCCCAACGCCGAGCCGCCCGGGACCCGAGCCGCCCTGCCGCCGAGCCGCCCGCGAGCCGAGCCGCCCTGCACCCGAGCCGCCCAGCCGCCGAGCCGTTCGGGAGCCGAGCCGCCCTGCGCCCCAGCCGCCCAGCCGCCCGGGAGCCGAGCCGCTGTGCATCCGAGCCGCCCGGTCGCTGAGCCGCCCTTCTGCATAGCTGCACGACCTGCCCTGCCTGGTGAGCACAGTCCCACTGACACTGCGAGCTCTTTCCCTACTGCTTGCACTGCGTCGCTGTCGTCGCCATGGCTACCCCTAGTGTCCTAGCTTTCGACGCTGAGGGTCGCGCCATTGATTTTGAGGTCTGGTTAGACGACCTGCAGCTGTTCTTACAGTGCGACAGGGCTGACGACCTTTCTCTCTTTGACCTCACCTCTGGCGCCTCTCCTGCTCCTGCTGCTGATGCTGATCCCTCTGTCCGCTCTCAGTGGGCCACCCGCGATGCTGCTGCACGTCTTGCTGTGCGTCGCCACCTCCCTACCTCTGAGCGTGCGCACTTTAGCCAGTACAAGAGTGCTCAGACCTTGTACGACGCTGTAGTTGCGCGCTACTCCTCCCCTGCCACTGCTGCACTGAGCCGTCTCTTGCTTCCCTACCTCTTTCCTGACCTCTCTGCCTTTCCCACTGTCGCTGACCTCATTACGCACCTCCGCACTAGTGACACTCGCTACCGCGCCGCCCTTCCTGCTGAGTTCTGCGCTAAGAACCCCCCCCCCATGTACATCGCTCTCTACTACGTAGTCGCGCGCCTCCCTGACTCCCTTCGCGTTGTCAGGGACCACTTTCTCGCTGTCTGTCCCACCACCCTCACCGTCGACCTCCTCGAGAAGGCCCTCCTCGCAGCGGAGAAGAGCATAGTCGCTGTAGGTGCTTCTCGTGGTGACCCTCGCACCCCCATCTTTGAGGGGTGCTCTCCTTCCCCCTTGTTGCCCTCTGTTGCCTCTGCTGCTGCTGCCGACCTGCTTGGTCTTGAGTCGGTCGGCGCGGCGTCTGCCCCTAGTGGGAGACGTCGCTCCAGCAAGGGCAAGGGTGGCAAGGGCGCGGGTGGAGCTGGAGGGGGCGGTGGCGGTGGCGGCGGTGGCGGCGGAGGGAGTGGGGGTGGCGGCGGGACTAGTGGCGGGGGTGGTGGTGGTGGTGGCAGCAGCGGCGGAGACGGTGGTGGTGGTGCCAGCGGTGGTGGTGGTGGCAGCGGCGGAGGTGGAGGCGGCGGAGGTGGAGGCGGTGGAGGCGGCAGCACAGGAGGCGGTGGTGGTGGAGGAGGTGGAGCTGGTCGAGGTGGTACCCAGCAGCGTAGCGGCGGTAGTGGTGGCCAGCGCTCGCAGCGGCAGCAGCAGCAGCGCCCGCGGGACATCCCTCCGCCTCAGCAGCTTCGTGAGTGGTACGCTGGGCGTCAGAGGGGTGGGGGTACTGGTCCCTGCACCTACGTTCTTCGTTCCGGCGACCGCGCGGGTGAGCAGTGTGGGGGTGCCCACGCCACCCAGCGCTGCTTTGGCCGCCTGACGGACGCTTGGCGTCGGCAGTTCCCTGGGGCTGGTGAGATCCCTCGCTGGGATGAGCTTCTTAGGGCTGGTGTAGGGATCTTTGATCTTGATTTTGATGCTATCCTTGCTGCTATGTATGCTGTGGATTATAGTGAGGAGACTTAGGGTTACCGGTGTTTCCAGCCCGACCCGGGCATTGGTGCTGCTGCGCTAGGTGCTTGTGAGGCTGCTGCTCTAGGTGCCAGTGCGTCTGTGCTCTCAGGTACTGGTGAGACTGCGCTCTCAGGTACTGCGTCGTCCTCGTCCTCCCTCACTTTCACACTTGACTCCGGAGCTTCTCGCTCTTTCTTTCGGGACCGCAC